TAGTTGGGATGTAATCGGTCAAGAATGCACCGCAGCTTCCTGCCCATCAGGAGCTCGGTCGGACTATGCCCTTTCGCTATGCATGGTGTGGCATGTTGGACAGCCAGGAACTTATCTTACCCTGGCCTGCCAATCCCCAGCGTCTAACCTTGAGAGTGCCTCTTTGGCCGTTCTCACAAATCTTTCAGCCAGTCCGTTACTGGCTGGATGAAAAGGTGCAGAGAGTGCATGTTTGATGCCCAGCTCTGCCAAGTATCCCTCGAACTGGGTGGCGGTGAATTGGGGCCCGTTATCCAATACAAGTGTATCGGGCAATCCGTGGGTGACAAAGAGTTTCCGAAGCACCTTGATTACAGCTTCGGAAGTCGTGAACTGCATTAGGATGATCTCGAGCCATTTCGAATAGGCGTCGACGATCACTAGGAATATTTGGTCATGAAATGGGCCAGCGAAGTCTATGTGGATCCTAGACCAGGGACCCTGGGGTCGTTCCCATTCCCTGAGTGGTGCTGTGGGGGGATCTGGCCAGGACTCTTGGCAGGGTTGACACTTCCCCACCCACTCCATGATGTCATCGTCCATTCGTGACCACCAAACATAACTCCTAGCTAGCCCCTTCATCCTTACAATCCCGGGGTGCCCATCATGTAACATGCGCAAAACCTTTTCCCTTAAGCATAAGGGAACAATGACACAATCACCCCACAGTAAACACCCCCCTTGCATAGACAATTCATTCCTCTTAGATGCAAACGATTTAAATTCCATGCCTTCAGTCTTTCCCGGCCACCCCCTCGTGACCCAACTCATGACCGTCTTTAGAACAGTGTCCCGAGCTGACGCTCTCGCCATTTCGGCAGAAATGAGAGGTCCTGAGTCCAATGCTCAATAAGTAGGACTGGTGTCCCCGGTGTGGGGTCTTCTAGGATGTCCGGTAGTGGGCATCGGCTGAGGGCGTCGGCATGCCCCAAACTCAGTCCCGGTCGGTGGACAAGGCGGTAGGAATATGCTGCTAAAAAGATAGTCCAGCAAGTCATTCATGTAGACAAAGCAGCAGGGGTGGGCCGATCCCCAGCCAGGAGGCCCAAAAGCAGCTGGTGGTCTGTGACAAGTTCAAAATTCCACCCAAACAGGTATTCGTGGAATTTCTTTACTCCCGAGACGGCTGCCAGGGCCTCTCTGTCCAACTGGCTGTAGTTCCACTCAGCGCTGGACAGGGTGCGGGAATAGTAAGCGATGGGCGCCTCTAGTCCATTCGGTAGTCTGTGGCTCAGGACGGCTCCTACTCCAAAGGGGGATGCGTCGCAGACTAGTACAAGTGGAAGTGTTGCATTGTACTGGATGAGGAAACTGTCCGCAGACAAAAGTTTCTTCACGACGGCAAAAGCAGCAGTCTCAGTCTTTCCCCAAACCCAGGGTGCATTTTTAGCCAATAGTCGGTGTAGGGGTTCAGCTACCATTGCCTCAGGAAGATGGCATAAAAGTTAAGGAGACCCAGAAAGGCTTGTAGCTCCGACTTGTTCTTGGGGGTTGGCGCATTTTTGATGGCCCTAATCTTGCTTTCGGTGGGGTGAATGCCCATTCCGTCCACCCGGTACCCTAGGAACTCGGCTGAGGGTACTGCTATCATGCATTTTGTCCGTTGGACCCGGAGGCCAGCATTTCTGAATTTCTCTAACACTAGCCTCAGCCGGTCCGCTAGTTGCTTTTCGTCTGTGGCGCTGATAAGGACATCATCGAAATAGGAGACTACCCCTGGAAGTCCTTGTAGTAGGCGTTCCATCATACTTTGGAACAGGCCGGGGGCTACACTAATTCTGAATTGTAGCCTAGTGCATTTGAAGGCACCTCTGTGAGTTACAATAGTCTGTGCCTCCGCGGTAGCGCCATCTACCGGCAGTTGCTGGTACGCCTGCGCAAGATCAAGTTTTGCGAAGATCTTGCCTGGACTCAGCGAATGGAGCAAATGATGTATGATTGGGACGGGGTAAGCGCTCTGCTGGAGACCCTTATTAATTGTACATTTGTAGTCCGCGCAGATGTGCACAGACCCATCAGGCTTGATGGGTGTCATGATGGGGGTCTCCCATTTGGCGTGGTCTACTGGGACTAACACCCCCGGTTTAATTAGTTTGTCCAGTTCCAAGTCAATCTTAGGCTTTAGTGCAAAGGGCTTAAGGCCTTAAGGCTTAAGGGCTAAGTCTAGCCTTAAGTCAGATTGGGGCTATTTTGGGGTCAAGATTAAAAGAAATAGGGGTCCCCTCGTACTTGCCCAGCCGGTCGTTGAACACGTCCTGGAACTCCTTCAGCAGGTCATCTCTCAGACTGCTGCTGCTCCGGGCTAGCTCGCTGCTTGCGCTGTGGACTCTGGTGAATCCCATTCCAAGGGCCTTAAACCAGTCCAGCCCCAGGAAGCTCGGTAGTTGTTCGCTGACCACGGTGAGGGGAAGCTTCTTCCGGTGCTCTCCATACTCGACCTGGAACATGCCAACTTCTTCCATGGCTATGCGGTTTCCTTGGTAATCCTGAAGCCTTATCCGCTGGTGCTGTAGTTGGCTCTCACCGCTTTCAGGGTGGCCCAGGACATGATGGATAGAGATGATCCAGTATCAATCTCCATCTCACACGTGCTTCCTTCGATTTTGACCGTGGTGTCGACCTTTTTTTTGATGGTCGTGCTGGCCAATCCTGGTGCTGCTTCTGGTTTTGAAACTCACGCCTTTTCCTTGGGTCGCCATCTTTACCGGTCCGCTTGTGCCGTGCCGGCTCTGATTGGCTGTAGCCGTCTCTTGGCTTGTGGTTGACCAGTAGGTTTGCCCGGCAGACTCTCGCCAAATGCCCCTTCTTCTCGCAGCGTCTGCAGATGGCGTCCCTGAACTTACAGGTCTGTCTCTGGTGTGATCCTCCGCAGCTTGAGCAGCTCCCGCGACGCTCTCTCTGCTCGCGTTTCTGCCTTTCGGTTTGGAAGACGTCTTTGTCCGGCTCTTCCTCGCTGTCGGTTTGGGTTGTCTCACGGTGTACTGTTGTCGACCTCAAGGTAGCTTGTGAGGTGGTTGGACGTTGCAGGGTCTCCGCAGCCTTGGTGGATGACTCGTGTGCCCTTGCTTCATCGAGGGCGCTGGGTAGAGTCAGGTTAGGCTTTGCGAGCAACCTTCTCTGTAGGCGTATATCTCTAACGCCACAGATTAGTTGCTCTAGGAGCGCCTCATTGAGGTCTCGGTAGTCGCAATGCGTTGCAGCCTTATGCAGGGCAGCCATGTAAACGCTGATCAGCTCTCCTTCTCGCTGTACTCGCTGCCGGAACTCGTACCGCTGGACAAACTTGGATGGTACCGGGGCGCAATGTGCTTTAAGCGAGGCTTGTAGCACTTCCCACAATACCGTTTGGACCAGAGTCGGCTCAGAAAATGACTCAGCCATGTCAAAAACGTCTGGCCCGCAGTGGCTCAGGAAGAGTGCCCTTTTTCTGTTGCCTGCAAGATTGTGCATGTCGCTGGCTTCCAGGGAGCACTCGAATCGGATCATGTACGACCCCCACTTCTCTCTCTCGGGGTCGAAAGGCTTTGGTGGTACATACGCAGACATCATGGTAGTCCTGCTATGTATGAAGCTCGTCAGCCTAGCTGAATCCGCTGCTGGTAGCTTTTTTTCAACTTGCTTCTCGTTGCCTCAATCCCACACTCGTCGCCAATGTTAAATTGGGCGATTGAGGAGGCAGAAGCAAGGTAGTGCATAACAACAGCTCTTTATTGTAGTGTGAACTTCAGCAAAGGTTACAGGAACACAGCTCCCTTTATATACCTTGCCAGCCAGGGAGCTGACCAATCACAAGTGACCCATTGTTGTTTAAATCTCCCGCCAAAACTATATACATAACAAGTGAATTCAGAAATTATGTGATAACAATACCCCCAAAGGATCAGGTTATCTATATACAGTATATAAAAAAGGATCTATGTATGTATATACTTGGTACACAGTTGACTTACTCTCTGGAAACAAATACTGTGGGGATAAGACACCCCTGGTGTGTGTGTCTGTCTGTGTGTGTTCCAGCATAACTCTGGAACGCCTCGAGCAATTTTAACCAAACTTGATATATAGTTGACTTACTCTCTGGAAACAAATACTGTGAGGGTAAGGCACTCTGGTGTGTGTGTGTGTGTGTGTGTGTGTGTGTGTGTGTGTGTGTGTGTGGTGTGGTGTGTGTGTTCCAGCATAACTCTAGAATGCCTCAAACAATTTTAACCAAACTTTTTTTTTTTAATTTGATTTATATGCCGCCCTTCTCGGAGACTCAGGGTGGCTTATAATGTGCTCAGCAATACTTGGTCCACAGATGACTTACCCTCTGGAAACAAATACTGTGGGAGTAAGACCTCCCTGGTGTGTGTGTGTGTGTGTGTTCCAGCATAACTGGAATGTCTCGAGCAATTTTAACCAAACTTGGTATACAGATGACTTACTCTCTGGAAACAATACTGTGAGGGTAAGGCACTCCGGTGTGTGTGTGTGTGTGTGTGTGTGTGTGTTCCAGCATAACTCTAGAATGCCTCAAACAATTTTAACCAAACTTTTTTTTTTTAATTTGATTTTATGCTGCCCTTCTCTCCGGAGACTCAGGGTGGCTTATAATGTGCTCAGCAATACTTGGTACACAGATGACTTACCCTCTGGAAACAAATACTGTGGGAGTAAGACCTCCCTGGTGTGTGTGTGTGTGTGTGTTCCAGCATAACTGGAATGTCTCGAAGCAATTTTAACCAAACTTGGTATACAGATGACTTACTCTCTGGAAAAAAACACTATGTGGGTAAGACACCCCTAACACCCTTCGGGGGGGGTCTGTGTGTGTGTCTGTATTCCAGCATAACTCTGGAATGCCTCGAGCAATTTTAACCAAACTTGCTGCACAGATGACTTACTCTCTGGAAAAAAATACGGGGGGGGGGGGAGGGAGGTAATATATCCCTAACACCTCGGGTGTGTTTGTGTTCCAGCATAACTCTGGAATGGCTCAAGCTTTTTCAACCAAACTTGGTACACAGATGACTTACTCTCTGGGAAAAAATACTGTGGAGGTAAGACACCCCTAACACTCGTTGGGGTGTGTGTCTGTGTGTGTGAGTGTTCCAGCATAACTCTGGAACGCCTGGGCTGCTGAAATGAAAAGGAATAAATTATATCTATAGTATCAAATCACAGTATTTTGACAGTGATAGTGTGCATTTTGTAATCAAGTTCTGTCAAGATACAGCCTGTTGTGCCTTAAAATGGCTTCTAATGTACATCACAATGGAGTTGCCATGGTAATGGCTTCACAGTACTCCACAAGGGGCCTCCCTCTGGTAAAGTGGATTAGTTCTTAAAAAAACAAACAAACAAAAAATAAACCCCCTAGGCCCTCAGCTTCAAGCAAGAGGGCAAGTTGTCAGGGGAGATGCCTGCTAATGCAGATAACTGCCTCAAAGGCTGTTCCCTGGAGAATTTTTCCCAAGCTGTTGGCCAGGGAAATTAGATCTCTAATTCTCACCACAGTGAGTGATGGCTTTTCCTGTCTAATACAGGATTGGGGTAAATAAATACCCCAGCAACGCCAGGCTAGCAGCTAGTAACTATAACTTTTATAGATACTGAATTACTCCTAGATAGGCAGGTAAAAGCCATTGCTTCCCATATCTTGGTTACATCTCATATATGAATGCAATGTTCTCTACATGGGATTACCTTGGCAGAAGATGTAGTTGGTACAAAATATTCCTGTGTGACAGTATAAAAATGTAGTAAATAGTCTCAGAGTGAGATGGGCGGTATCTAAATTTAATAAGTAAATTTAGTAAATGAAATAAGTAAATTATTGTGAATCATCTTCCCACCAGGCAAAGCAAGAAGAAAAATGTTCATGCTAAGTTTGCAACTTATATGTTGTGGACAAGTTGAATAAATTCAGGGCAACCAGATGACTTCATGGGAACAATTAATTTCAAATGTTTCCAACATTTGTAGAGCCATGACCACTCATGATTGGACTTCATGCATGATTCTTATGAATCTATGAAGCAGCTCTTAATGACAGCATAATTAAAAAGGCTGAAATCATAAATGTGTTTGCTTATTTATTTATTTATTGCAACTTTTATGTCATCTCTGATTCTAGGCAGCTGATAGTACAATTCAGCCCAGCATACATACTTATCTAGGAGTCAGTCCTATTAAACCAATTAATCCCTCATCATGATAAAATAATTTACTAGAATCCAGTTGTTTAATCCTTTATGTCCCAATGTAATAAAACAAAGCACAAATAAATAGATAACCTATTTTTGGTTTCCAAATAAAGGGACTGCTGTATAAGATTCCATGGTATATTTCCAGGCACAGTAACAAAAATATTCAGGTGAAACATTTTTCTCAAGTCTGCTCTATAGCTGGCTACTTTAATTCTTTCTCAACATACAATATTTGGAATTGCCAGCTTTAGGCAATTGTAAATAATGTATGTTGAAAAAAATCTAAATACTGTTATGTTGAGGTACTGATATAGGAGTGCTTCTCTCTAATTAAAAATATTTTGATAGATTCCACTAGGTGGCACTTTAAGGATATAGCAACCAGTTTTTATCTCTTGTTAATTTTATTATTTAAAATAGGGATGCATAATATTTATGCAGCTCCATTTTTCCAGGTTTTGACTTGAACATTCTCTGGTGGAATGTATTACTTTGAAAACAATGGTTGCAGCTTGGCCATCGTTGTTTTCATACTTTATTTTTACATGCTGTTTCTTAAAATGAATACATCTCTGTATTTCAAATTTGTAATCAGAATCAGATATGAAAAGTCATATCTTAGTAAATGAGTCCCCAGCCCCAATCCATGGTCCATTACCGGGCTGTGGCCTATTTGGAATTGGGCCGCATGAGTGGCTGGTCAGAGTGTGTGTGCGCGCAGCTCAACTTTCGTGCACACCAGCCTCACCTCGCGCAACCCAATTCCCCTAGCCAGGTCGCAAAGCCGCAAAGGTTGGAAAATGCTGTCTTACTCTACAAATAACATATATACCATGCTTATCATTATTCCCATTTATATTAGCAACACTAGGTAAAGCATGGTAAGCCAAAAAAATTAAAGACCAAAAAACTCCAGAACTACCTATAAATCTAGTTTATTCCACTAACATTTACTTATATTCTCTCCATATCGTTCCTTGAAAGCTATCCTGGATTTCACCATATATTGCATTTTGTTGTCAAAATTCTTCTCTTTATGAAGATCTCATCAATTTCATCCAACCACAATTTTCTTTTCTCTCAGTTTATACACACTTCATATATTTGGTTTTGCTATTAAATCCTCATTCATTTTGCCTGCATGACCATACAACCAATGATTGATAGGCAGGTAGGCAATATCCAACCTCCCCTCCTTAGGGAAAATTATGAAGAAAGTGATGGGTTTGTCATTTACTCTAGATGGGCTCTAGAAAGAATCAGATTATCTGGATAGATAGTTGGGGTTCAGGCCAGAGTACAGAATGGAAATCAAATTGGTTGCTTAGATTACTCTCCTACAGTGAGGCATGGATGGAAGGACCAACACTATCCCTGTTCTGCTAGGCCTCTTGGCCTTCAGTACTATCAGCCGCAGCATCCTTAATTAACAGAATGTCAAGGGCTCTGTATATCCTAGCAAGGGCAGCTATTCTCGGTAGCTGTTTTCCTCTTTCTGAACAGCTTAATTCCCTTTGTGTGTGTGTGTGTGTGTGTGTGTGTGTGTGTGTGTGTGTGTGTGTGTAAGCAAGTTTTATTAAAAATTTTCTTTCATTATAAATACTTTATGAACAGAGTGTTGACCGGGTCACATCTTATACATTGATTTTTCCATATTCATCCCTTTTATATAAGTCTTTATCACAAATCCATCATTTTTCATCCTGTCTTGTTATTTCATCTCTTTTTTCCCCCCAAAAAAACATTTTACATATTTCCAATTTTGGCCATAATATTCTTTCCATATTTCTTTATCTTATCTTAATCTCTTCTTAATACATAATACATCAACTGTATCACTATCCACCCTTTAACTCCTAATTTCTTACAATAACATCAATTAATTGTCTATTTCTCCATTTGCCAAATATATTTCTCAAAATTCCCCACTTTTCAACTATACACAATATATGTCATCATGTTCAATTCTTATATTAAAACCCTTTAACTTAATTAATTATACACATCTTATCTTACTCTCTTCTTAATACATAATACATAAACAGTAACACTATCCACCCTTGATTCCTAATTTCTTACAATAACCTCAATTATCTTATTTCTTCATTTACAGCATATATTTTGAAAATCCCCATCCCACTTTTTAGCATTTCAATTTTGTCTCTTAATTTAACTTGTCTTCATAATTAAACCCAATTACCATTTCATATTTCATCTGCTTTCTGTTTTACTCTAAGCAATATACATCATCATATTGACTTCTTACATTAAAATCCTTTAACTTAATTGACCTTCCACAATTAATAATAATAATACAATTCCCTTAAATCTACTAACATATACCTTATTTCCCTTCCTCCTTTCCACTATTCTTCCCTCTTTAGCCATTTTCTCTTGGTCTCTCCAAAATTCCACTTCTTAGTAATTTCCTCCTTTTATCCCGTTCTTTTGACTTCTATTTTTTTTTTAATTTATTTATTTATTATGTCTTTTCTCCTGAATCATTTTCTCACTTTTAAATATATAACTTGAGTAATTCTCTCCAAGTTTTCTCCTAGTCTCTTTACACTATTTCCTTCTTTTCCCTTTGTTTGATTCTTTTTGGGGGAATATTCACTCCTATCCACTCTTGTTTTGCTACTATTAATCCCAGTGAAATCATCTAACTGCTTTTTGTTTTCAATTCCTTTTCTTTCAATATTATTTTCTTGCTCCTCACTTATACTCTCTTTTTCCTGCTCTGTATGTTCCAGCAAAATTTCTAACTTTTTATTACCCTTTAGTGATTTACACATATTTTTAAATATCTCAATTAGTTCTTCACACATCCAAGACTCCTTATTGTAAATTTAAAAAATTGTTAACACTTTTACTTTATACTTAATTGAAATTCTAAAGTCCAAATAGTTTCTTTTTAATTCCAAATAGTATCCAATTCAAATATTTATCCAATCCACTCCAAATTAAAGCTTTGTTATTTTCCACAATTGTTGACAGTCGAAACCAAATAGTTCAGAAAAACAGATACTCCTTAAAAGTTCTCAGTTTCCAGATTAAATCACAGTCACGGCTGTTGTTTTTTCTTCTGTCTTCCCACCAATATTGCACTACTCACTTTCCACCAGCAAATGTCTCTCTCAAATCCACAATATTCTCAGCAAAAATTCTCAAAAATATTTTAAATCCACATAAAGAGTTCTTTTCCTCCGGTTTCTTTTTCTTATGTTGTTTTTAATTTCTCCAAATCCAATTTTAAATCCAGTTGTAAAATTTTCTTTCTTGCGCTTTAGTATTTTAACCTCCTCTTTGTTCTCCCTCCATTAACTTTCCCAAATGCCAATTAGCTGCTCATTTCCACTCTGGGACACCTTTTAAGGTTATTAAAAATTTTCTTTTTTACTTTTGAGTTGGCCAATCACTCACCTGGTACCAGCACTCCTATCAGACACCACACCTGCACAAACAACTTAGTCCAGTTGCCCCAGCTTCAGAGTGGTCATTTTTCAATGGCCGCCGCCCCTGCCACCGGTTCAAAGAGCAGCCTTCGACCTTTCAAGGAACTTGCCTGTTCCTCTTTGTCATCTGAGGCACCTCTCCTTCTTCACCATCCCTACAGGACAGTTCCGGTCCGAAGACCTCCTGACAGCAGTTTGGCTGGATTTTCGTGGGGCTCATCAGAGCCACTATTTCTCCAGCCGGTCTCGCCACAATGCTTCCAGTTTCTTGAACAGCTTAATTTCCAAGGCAGGTATATCCCCAGTGGCCTTTTATAGAACAGTAATTTTGTATTCTCCTTTGATTCATTGATTATATCACAAAGGATTCTTAGCAATGTGTCACTTTTATAAATCTTAAAACTATATTTAACATGCATTCATTTGTTTGCTCTATGTCTTCTTGATTTACCACATGTTCTTCTAAGGACCCACTTCCACTGTATTCAATTTTTATATTTCTCCTAACATATCCAACTTTCACTTCCATACAACAGAAGTCTCACAATATATCATAAATTGCCCACTGCTATTCTTCCAGCATTTTCCCACTTGTATTAAGATGCATTCTATTAAGATGCACACATTTATCTATGTGGTCTGATTTTTCTAGATTAAAATATAAAAATTAAAAATAAAATACTCAGTTTGGAAAGTTTAGAAAATCAGATGTGTAGTATTGCTGCTGTCTTATACATGGAACGTATGTATGTAACATCTGATGGTTATATTATTCAGGTGTTCAAATTATTTTTTAATTGAAAATGAAGTTATCCTTCAACACCTTGCTCACTACATGTAAGGCATGTGTATTGAAAGTTTTATACACTAAATACTTTATTACATGGGGATTTCAGAAAACATTTATTCATTCATTTTCTGTAGCTTCTAGACTACTTCAGCCCATTGGCACTGAGCACCCCAATATGCAATTGGAATTAAAACCATTATGGAAATATTAATAACTTTTTAGAAGATAACTTACAAGGCCAAAGAAGCTGCATACACAGAAAAAGAAAAGGGGTAATAGTTCTGTAGCTGCAAAGTGTTAACTTGGTATTCTCAGCCAGACTATGAAGGCAAAAACAAGAAAAAAACCCTGGAAATGTTCAGTTTTACAACCATTTATCCAATTTCTTCATTTTACATTTCTTTTCTTTTGAACCAAATTGATTTCTTAGCATACATTGAAGCTAGTAGTTTGGTCAACCAAACTGTATTGTGATGTTGAAGAAGCTCTAAAATTGTTGTAACAGGAAGGATGCATCACTTATTGTAATGTGCTTTGTGAAGCATCATTTTCACAAACTATGCACATCCCCAATAACTAACATGTTCCAAGACGGTAACACAAATAGAGTTCTACTTCTCCTCTGTATAGAACTGTAGTGTTTTGATGGTTCAGATAAATACACTTTGAAAGAGTAAAAGATAACAATGAATAATCTCTTGTCTTATTCTAAACTGTATCTTAACAGTAAATGCTTCTTTAAAGAGATTTTTGTTTTGTTTTTACTTTTTACAATATTTTCCAAAAGAAAACAAAAGCCCTGGGAATTTTGTTTCTGAATCGTTCTGGCTTTTTTCTCCCAAAGATTCACATCTAAGTCCCATCTTCTGTTAACTCTAAATGAGATGTGAACTTGATAGCATTCTCATCACATAAATAAAATTTCTGTTGCAAGTCCTTTCTTTTATTGAGTTCTGATATTGCACAAATCACTATGGTTTAGCAGGTTCATTTACAACAAACTTTGCAAGTCTTTATTCAGTGGAGATTTCTAGTAGAGTGCACAAAACTACAACTGACAAGTGACTGCTTTTAGATTGTATGCATGATTTCAATATACACTTCCAGGCATTACAATATTTTCACATTGTTACAGATAGAACAAGACTCTGAAATAAACTCACATTTGCCAATGAACATGTCCCCATCACAAGAAAGCAGCCCAGCAAAAAAGGTAAGGACCTATCATGTAATCTTCAATAGTAAGTCCTTGTTTCAGATCTATAAAATTAATCATATACTTCCATATACACTTATTTGTAATAATTACATTGTTCAGTATTGTGTAGATAATTTCAGCATTGTTTTTTGCTCAAATCTTGTTTTTATTTCCCATTGTTCATGCCATTTTGCCATTTTTAGTTTCTAATAAAATTTGTTACTGTCATTGTGTTTTTATGGAACAAAGAAAATATTAAATCTAAGAAAACGCTCATTTAATATTTTAATCTTAGTCTCTGAAAAAAATTGAGACAATATAAATCCGTCTTTTAAAATGGCAATCTTAATCAAAAAGCTGATCAACAGATGTATGATATATTTATTAGTTTTTTTGGGGGGGGGGAATTTGTCTATTATTCTTATAAATAGCTCAAGACAGTGAACATATGAAAATCTTTCAGAGTTTTTAATCCAGGGAAAGATTATCTCAGTAAAGAAAAAGAAATATATATATACCTATTTTATATAAAGATTTTATAACAATATCCTATTGCCATTGAAATTATTTATGGTGGAAAAAATCAGACTTTCTCATCATTAATTGATTTTCAAAGTAAGAAATTTTTCCAAGAATTTCATAATAATAAATTTATGAAGTTATAAGTCAGGAATTTTGAGCTGAAATGTATTTTTTAGTTCAGTTGATTAATGCTGTGACAATATTTCTAGCACAACTCATGTTGCATTTACAAAGATGAATGAATGAATCCAATGCTAGAAAACTGTAGCATCCCTGGCAGAATGTTCAAGTACTGTGTTTCTGACACACACACACACCCGAAATAAACGCTTGGCCTTATTTTCGGGGAGGTCTTATTATTTTTGAGGTGCAGGAGACCCCTTAACCTTGGTCTGTGGATCAGCTGAAGTTCTGTCTCTGTTACTGGCACACTCTTGCCAGAAATTTCTGTTTCTGGCATACTCTTGCCAGCCCTAGCGTCGATGGGCCTCCTTGTTTCTTCCCATGCAAACAGCATGAGGTGAGGAGGCGGGGGAAAGGGGGGGGACATGTCCAACACACACCTGCCATCCACACGGAACAGCCTCGCAGAGGCCACTCCCTCAAACCCTAGCTACCGCACACCTTCTCTTAGTGATGGCTGCAAAAAGAATGGCAGGCCCAGCAACGTGCCTCACGCCCCCCTCCTTATCTACTGGTAATAGTGCAATGGTCGCAGCAGGCCATCCTACCATTCACAAAGCAGCTGCTTCACCAGTGCTGCTCAAGCTACCGCCTCCAGCAACCATAGCCGTTTTTGCAGCTGCAAAAGTGGCAGGAGATCCAGTGATGCGCCCCATGTGTTGCTGGGCCTCCTCGTTGTTTCCCATGCAAACAGCATGAGGTGAGGAGGTGAAGTGGGGGAGAAGGGGAGGAACATGCCCCATGTGCCCCACATGCACCTGCCATCCATGTGGAATGGCCTCGCGGAGGCCACTCCACAAACCCTAGCTACTGTGTCCCATCTCTTAGTGGCAGCCGCAAAAAGAGCGGCAGGACCAGCGATGCACCTCACGCAACACATTCTTGCCAGCCCTAACCCTGTCAACCTGGGACTGGGAGGAGGGGGATGGCGCCGGAGCCCCAAGCTTTGTGCAGCCATGAAGTGGGATCGGCGTGGTCGGTTCTTGCCCACAGCATTGCCGGCCAGGATCGGGTCAGAGCCACTGCCGCTGTCGGCCGAGGAAGAGAGGAGGCGCAATGAAAAAGCCCATTTCTCACGTTCTTCTCCTTCCGGCTGGTGGTGTGTTCAGCTCACCAAATCTGGCCTGCTGATCTCGGCCAGCGAGGGGGAGTGGCAGGTGGGGGTGGCAGGTGGGGAGTGCTGGGACACGGAGAAGCGAGACGTGTGTCTTACCTGACTTCCAGCTCCATCGCATTTCTCACCATTGTGTGCAAGGAAACAAGTTTGTGGGACTACCGTAAAAAACATCTCGCGAGTTCAGTCAATTAATTCCAATTTGTCGAACTCGAACCTTTTCCATCTACCACTTCCCCTGCCAGCCAAGATCAGCAGGCCAGATTCAGTGAGCTGAATGCGCTGCCGCCACCTGGGAGGAGAAGAACATGAGAAATGGACTCTCTCGCAGTGCCTCCTCTCTCTCTTTTCCTCCCGAGCAGCGGCGATTCATCGGGCTCACCAAATCTGGCCTGCTGATCTTGGCTGGCAGCAGCAGCAGCTCTGACCCAATCCTGGCCAGCAATGCTGCGGGCAAGAACCAGCCACACCGATCCCGCTTCATGGCTGTACAAACAAAGCCCGCACTGGCCACTGCTCGGAGCTCCAGTGCGAGTCCCTCTCCCCCCAGTTCCAGGTCGACAGGGCTATGGCTGGCAAGAGTGCGGTGTGCGAGGCGCATTACTGGGCCTGCCGCTCTTTGCGGCTGCCACTAAGGGGCATATTAACTAGGGCTTGTAGGAGTGGCAGGTGCGTGTGGGGTGCATGGGGCATCCCATGCACCCCACACTCCCCCCTTTCTGAGCCACTAACCAAGAAAGTTTGGGGAATCTTGGTTTGGAGTTTAATAGTCATTTTCAGGCTTATAAAAAGATACAATATATTCCATTATTCACAATCAACTAACGATATAGTAGTACACAATACTGGATATATATTTTTTTAGCTTTTATGATGTTTGTAGACCCCTTGTTTATTTTATTGTTTTATCTCTTTTTTGTTCCTTGTCTTCACAAGTATTTTCTTTGAAATTTCTAATAAAAAATAATTTTTAAAAAAATATGATTTTTTTAAATTTCATAGGACCTTGTACTTACTCAGCTACCATCAAAGTCAATTTACAAGAAATTCCGACCTGAAAGCCACATGCTGGAGAACCAGGAAGTTTCTCCTACGAAAAGTGCAACTTCCTCTTCCTTAACTACCATCAAACTTCATCATGCGTTTTCAAAGTAAAAGGGCTGATTTATGCTACATGCAAAACTGGGAGAGGTGTGGGTTTTGTGACAATATAGAGGGGCTTAGATTTCCTTCAGAGGAAGGAATATGGGAATTTTATGGGATAAAATGCAAGTCAACTACTTTGAAAATATCTCTTCTTAGGGACAATACACAGTACAAAAGTATAGAGATACAGTTTATGCAATTCATTTCTTCTTATTAGTTTGGGGAATGCAAATCCACTGTCAAAAATGCCTGTGCTGCTAAAATATTACCTGCTGGACTATGTAGAGAATTCTCTAGAGAACAGTTAATCATGGTTCAGTTGTGGGTGGAGAACACTGACGTTTTGCAAGAGCCTGGATAGAAAATTGTATATCCCTTCTAGGACTCTAATTCGGTTAACAGATGAGGTTAACAACTAAATGTGCTGTAGCATTGATGCGCACAGAAGCTTTTTCTAATATTTGAGTCTGTTCAGCATCAGTTCTTGCTTTTCCCCAAATGTTCTAAGAAGCAACTGTAAATCATGCCCTTTTAAGGCATATGTAATGGGTGGTGAGGGGTGAATAATGTGGAAGTTTGAAGGCTCCTTAGAATTGTTGTGATCTGCAAGCAGTATTCTTGTTTGAGCCTCACTTATAAGGAGGTGTTTCCTAGTGGCATAATATACTAGAGGGAAATGCTTGAATTAAAATTAACATATTCGTTTTCCACAGTTAGAATGCTGAGATGGGGAAGAAGTCAGTTGAAGAGACTATAAATTTTTCAGGAAAAGACACTGGGAGATTCAAGAGCTCAAACTATCAACTCTGCTTTAGAAAGTCAGAGCAAGTCAAGGATTTATTTTCACATAAGCTTTGTGTGTTAGCTCATGTGTGCCTTAGCTCATGTGATCAACACCTCATTGAGAACTGTAAAATACCTCTTAGAAATAATTTTGGCTTTGTTTTCATCATTCATTAGTTTTCTTTATAAATAAAATTGTAAATATCTTTCTTTTTAAAAGTGGAATAGAAAGGTATAACAAATCCAGAAAATCATCTGCCAAAAAAAATCTGTTTTAGTTTGTGGCATCATAATTTAGGACTGATTTCTATGTTATTAAGATGTAGCGAATATAGAAGTGCATGTAACAAGAAGTGCATGTTGCCCTACTTCTTTGTAATATATAAATTACTTGAGTTGGAAGAAAACTTGTTGTTAGTTGTGAAGTTGTCCGACCCATTGCGACCCCATGGATAACGTTCCTCCAGGCTTTCCTGTCCTCTACCATCCTCTGGAGTCCATTTAAGCTCACGCCTACTGCTTCAGTGACTCTATCCAGCCACCTCGTTCTCTGTCGTCCTCTTCTTCTTTTGCCCTCAATCTTTGCCAGCATTTGCCAGACTCCAGTGAGTCCTTCCTTCTCATTAGGTGGCCAAAGTATTTGAGTTTCATCTTCAGGACCTGGCCTTCTAAAGAGCAGTCAGGGTTGATCTCCTCTAGGACTGACTGGTTTGATCGCCTTGCAGTCCAAGGGACTTGCAGGAGTCTTCTTCAGTACCATAGTTCAGAGGCTTCAATTCTTTGGCACTCAGCCTTTCTTATGGTCCAACTTTCACAGTCATACATTGCAACTGGGAAAACCATAGCCTTGACTATACACACTTTTGTTGGCAGGGTGATGTCTCTGCTTTTTAGTATGCTGTCTATATTTGTCATAGCTTACCTCCCCAGGAGCAAGCATCTTTTAATTTCTTGGCTGCAGTCCCCATCTGCAGTGATCTTGGAGCCCAGGAAAATAAAATATGTCACTACCTCCATTTCTTCCCCATCTATTTGCCAGGAATTGAGAGGGCCAGATGCCATGATCTTAGTTTTCTTAATGTTGAGTTTCAAGCCAACTTTTGCACTCTCCTCCTTCACCCGCATCAAGAGGCTCTTTAGTTCCTCTTCACTTTCTGCCATTAGAGTGGTATCATCTGCATATCTGAGGTGGTTGATATTTCTCCCAGCAATCTTAATTCCAACTTGTGAGTCATCTAGCCCCTTTCTCATGATGTGCTCTCATATAAGTTAAATAGACAGGGCGATAGTATACAGCCTTGCCAAACTCCTTTCCCAATTTTGAACCAATCAGTGGTTCCGTGTCCAGTTCTCACTGTTGCTTCTTGACCCGCATATAGATTTCTCAAGAGACAAATAAGATGGTCTGGTACTCCCATCTCTTTAAGAACTTGTGTGATTCACACAATCAAAGGCTTTAACATAATCAATGAAGCAGAAGTAGATGTTTTTCTGAAACTCCCTAGCTTTCTCCATGGTCCAGTGTACGTTGGCAATTTGATTTCTAGTTCCTCTGCCTCTTTGAAATCCTGCCTGTAGTTCTCCATACACATACTGCTGGAACCTAGCTTGTAGGATTTTAAGCATAACCTTACTAGCATGTGAAATGAGTGCAATGGTGCAATAGTTTGAACATTTTTTGGCATTGCCTTTCCTTGGAATTGGAATGTAAACTTATCTTTTCCAATCCTGTGGCCACTGTTGAGTTTTCCAAATTTGCTGGCAGATTGAGTGTAGCATTTTTACTACATCGTCTTTTAAGATTTTGAATAGCTCAGCTGGAATACTGTCACCTCCACAACAGCTTTGTTGTTGCTCAGATTTCCTAAGGTCCATTTGACTTCACATGCTAGGATGTCTGGCTCAAGGTCAGTGACCACCCCATCATGGTTATCAGGGATGTTAATCTTGTTCTGTGTAATTTTGCCATCTCTTCTTAATGTATTCTGCCTCCTTTAGGTCCCTGCCATTTTGGTCCTTTATCATGCCCATCTTTGCATGAAACATTTCCTTCATATCTCCAATTTTCTTGAAGATGTTTCTGGTCCTTCCTATTCTATTGTTTGCGAACCTCTGTCCATAGTTCTTCAGGCATTCTGTCTATCAGATCTAATTCCTTAAATCTATTTGTTACCTCTACTGTATATTCATCAGGGATATGATTTAGTTCATACCTGAGTGGCCTAGTGCTTTTCCCTACTTTCTTCAATTTAAGCCTATATTTTGCAATGAGAAGCTCATGATCTGAGCCACAGTCAGCTCCTGGTCTTGTTTTTACTGACTGTATAGAGCTTCTCCATCTTTGGCTGCAGAGCACATAGTCAATCTGATTTCTGTGTTGACCGTCTGGTGATGTCTATGTGTAGAGTCATCTCTTGGATTGTTGGAAAAGAGTGTTTGCTATGACAACCATATTCTCTTGACAAAATTTTATCAGCCTGTGCCATGCTTCATTTTGTGCCCCAAGGCCAAACTTGCCTGTTATTCTGGTTATCTTTTGGCTTCCTTCTTTAGCATTCCAATCCCCCATGATGATAAGGACATCATTTTTTGATGTTAATTCTATAAGGTGCTGTAGGGCTTCATAGAACTGGTCAATTTCATCCTCTTCAGCACCAGTGGTTGGGGCATAGACTTGAACTACTGTGATATTGAATGGTTTGCCTTGGATTCGAACTGAGATCATTCTGTCATTTTGGGGATTGTATCCCAGTATTGCTTTTCCTACTCTTTTATTGATTATGAAAGTTACTCCATTTCTTCTGAGGGATTCTTGCCTGCAGTAGTATACCTGATGGTCATCTGAATTAAATCCACCCATTCCTGTCCATTAGTTCGCTGATTCCTAAGATGTTGATGTTCAGTCTTGTCATCTCTTGTTTTACCACGTCCAGCTTGCCTTGATTCATGGATCTTACATTCCAGGTTCCTATGGCGAATAGATCTTTACAGCATCAGACTTGCCTTTCACTACCAGATGCATCCACAGCTGAGCGTCCTTTCGGCTTTGGCCCAGTCACTTCACTCTTTCTGGCAGTACTAGTACTAGCCCTCTGCTCTTCCCCAGTAGTATATTGGATACCTTCCGACCTGAGGGGCTCATCTTCCAGCGTCATATCTTTTTGCCTATTGGTACTGTCCATGGGGTTTTCATGGCAAAGATATTGGAGTGGGTTGCCATTTCCTTCTCCAGTGGATCACATTTGTCAGGAAGAAAACTAACAAAGTATTATTTAATAAAGGAAAATAACAAATGTATCTGGATGCAAATATTCCTAATAAAGTTTTGAAGGGAAAGAAATAGAACAGAAGTCTGTTTTATAATATAAGTTCTATGAACTGGGAAGGATATTTGCATTTAAAACAGGTGTTGTCAGGAGTCCTATCATAAGTGAGTGCCCCTTAATAAATAGAAGACCTAGTTATTGCTCATTCATGTACTCATGCACTCATTCAATTTCTATAACCACACATCTCAGTCAGTGACTCTGATTTAGAAAAATATAATGCACTTGACCATGAGCAGGGCCGGATTTTCCTATAGGCTAACTAGGCTTCAGCCTAGGGCCTCAAGATCAAGAGGGGCCTACATTCAAATTGTTAGCAAAATTAAAATTACATTTTCACTATAGGTGAAAGGGCCTCATAAGTGGAATAGCCTAGGGCATCTTTTCATCTAAATCCGGCCCTGACCATGAGAGAACCAATTTGATGTAATTCTTTTTTTTTTTTAATTGAAAAAGTTTTAAAACAATACACATTTTCCCCACAACCCCCCCTCCCAACCCCCCCTCCCCCTCCCCGACTTCCCAGAGCAGAACACAAGGTATTTCTGTTGACCTTTAACAATAAACTAAATTGCATAACCAATCATTAAACTAACACCCCTAAAAAAAAATTTCTTAACCCCCCATATATAAAATCCTATTTCTTAAACATAATACTTCTAATATCACTTATATAACACTTATACAAATAAAAGAAATCATTCATAAGCTATTTGATATTTTTTGGTCTGATACTTATTTTTTATATAATCAATCCATCTTCTCCAATCCTGTATGTACCTTTCTTGTGTGTGATCCTTCAGATATGCTGAAATTTTAGCCATTTCAGCTAAATTAGTTACTTTCAATATCCAGTCATCAATAGTAGGCAAAAAGTCCTTCTTCCAGTGTTGTGC